ATTGTTTTATCATACAAACTCATTATTGTTTTATGTGAGAATATATTTATATGATGGTTTGACTCACATTTGGTGCCGTACTGGTAGATCTCTGTGTAGGGGTCGATCTGAACTGTGGCTCCCTGAGGAACCTCAGGAATTATTCCTTCAAGTCTGGTGTCAACCATCAGGTGGTCGTGCTCATCAATGCCTTTGAACTCCTGAAAGATGATCAACCGTTCCTCGCCCGGCTGGAAGGTCACATCAGTCAGACGTTTGAACTCTCCGCCTGACAGACCGGTGAAAGAGGGAGTGTGAGGCTGGATTTCCATCAAACAAACTGTAACACTGCACAGCAAACAACTCAAACTGATGCGTCAAAGCAGACACACATTGTTTTTAAAAGGATGGTTTGTTGCAAGAAATACTTGCTCTATTCTGGCTCTTTCTGCACCCTCACAACCCATCTAACAGCTTCCTATGCATCAATCACTCCTTCATTAAAGTTTTAAGCACTTTTACACCCAAATAACTGCTGTGAAAATTGTTCACATCTAATCTTGCATCTGCAATGCATTTATGATTAAAGCAAGAGAAAAAAGTATTGCAGGATTTTATCAATTGCCAATTGATTGGATGGTGAAAATACTCAAAAAAAGCTCTATATGACAGGTGGTTTAGAAAAGAGGGTGACTGAAATTACAAAGAATAGTATTACTAACACTACTATACAGCCAGTAGTGAATGTTTTCACCTGTATATGTCATAAAAGAAAATAAGAGGATAAACGATGACGATTCAGGAAATACTTAACTATGAAAGAAATACATCTAGCTATCCAAATCAGGTTTTTTTAATGCTTTAGATGCTATGGACCACCAATCCTAAACTATATAGGCATCTTTATACATATTTATCATTTATATTATAAATATGTATAAAACATTTGGAAAATATTTTGATTCAACTCACTATAGTACTGTACTGTTAAGATGATTTATTTATTGTATTTATTTTAATCCATTTTTAAATGTATTTATTACGTTTAATCTTGTTCTTGTTTATTTTTATGTTTTCTTTACCCCGTTTTTTAACCCCGATCTAAATCAATGTTTTTTTAGTATCATTGAGATACTATTATGTAGATTTTATTAATATTTAGATGTTTGATTAATAGTTTTTATTTTTATATTTTAAGTTTGAGTAATTTTGTTGTGT